AGGCAACCTCTTTGGTTGCAGTTGTCATGTAGATAAGGGCCTCACCATCTCAGAAGAAAGCTTGCTTCAAAGTGATACATTCAGACACAATGTCCACGCTCAGTCATTTCAACCAACTAAGGAGTCTCAGACACAAAGGCAAGGCTGTAATCTTCCTCACTACAGGGTTACCTGGACATCAAGGTCTGAGTCACACATTCAGAAACATTTGTCTGCTTTACTGTGTAGGTTATGGCCACAGCTATCATTGAAAATGTTTTAATCTTTACACAGAGGAAGAAAGTAAGAACAATGTATCTGAAGAGAAATTTGCCTAAACTCCTTACTCGCTTTATGAAAGGGAAAGGCTGTACCACATTGAAAGCAATACTGAACACAATTAAACTGGCCTGAAAAAAAGTTAGTCTGAAAGTTTTTTCCTAAACAAGGAAGAAACAATACAAAATGAGGAGCAAAGACAGAAAATGATGTTTATGTCTGGTGAGGACTTTCTCACAGACCTGCCTCAAAAGCAGACAACCTGAATGAAGAGCTATTAGCCAACCCAAAATCTGACAAATTTTTATCACTAATATTCTGAAAAAACCAAACATGTAACAAAACCTTGAGTTTTGGCCAGCTACATTAAATGCTTACTGGAGAGAAAACAAAAAGAGAAGCAAATAAGAAGATAACGGGGATGGAGACGAAAAAAACACAAAATAGGAACAACCAGAGAAAACCAGAGCATGTTTTTTTCCATTGAGCCAGTGGAGATGGCAACATCATTCAGAACTCTCTGGATGGTTCCAGTCAAGGGTCTGCTTTAGTCACTGACAAAACAAGAAAGGTCACAGATTATATAACTGCTACCAATGCCACCACCAGTGAAGGATGACCTAATATTGATTCAACCTTGGCCAGAGCACACAATTTCTCCTCTTTTCTAGCCAACTTCAATATTACAAAATTCTGTACTTAGAACACCAGGTCCAGCAGCCTGGCACCACTGGTAACTGATTAACAACTGTTCTGTTAGAGATATCCCAAACATGAAAGGCTTGCAAGGGGCAACCAGAGTAATTCTGTACCTGCACTTTGCTAAGGAAGCACTGATGCACAACAGTACACACAAAGCATGCATAGAATCCAGCCTTTACTGTAAATGTGGAGATCTCTCCTCTTTTTCATTTATCTACCCCGCATTTCTTCTTTCTCCATGACTGTTTTATTTTTAAAAGAAGATATCCAGAACACTTAAATGACAAAGCTTTGGACGTTGTTTGTCCAACTCTGTTATTCCATCACAAAAATCTCCCAATCTGACATTTAGCATTACAGCCCTTTTAAAATGCATTTTACCATAAAAGTAAACTCACAACAACATAATACTGAAGCTCTATTAGTAGCTCATGTGCTTGCACTACATATCAAAGGTAGCAGAGGGAAAACCTAGGTTTGGAACCTAAGTGAGCAGTATCTTTAATCTGAACACTTCATTAAACCCTGGTGCTGAATATGCCACTTTCATGGTTCCACTCTTCACTAATTAGAAAACTTATTGAAATGATAACACACAAAGATTAGAATTCATATTTCTATCCACAAACCAGTGAGGATTCCTATGTGCATAAGACATAACCCTGTATTTCTCAAGTTTCACAGTTTTGAAATCAGTCAGTTGTATTTTTCCTCCTGTTTCAGTAAAGAAGTCTAACTCTACAACTTTCTATACAGAGACTCAAAAATAAGCATGAGTGTCATTCTCAACTCCATAGATGCTGTACACACCAAAGTATTTTTCCTGATTTCAGGAAGGCAGTTCTTTCATGCTGAGAAAACGTCCTAATTATGGGTTTTGTTCTTATCATTGACTCTTAACTAAAAGACCTCCACAGTTTGGGAATAAGAGAAATTAGCAAGTAATTTCTGTAAAAAAAGCCCAAGGTGCTACATTCTGCATAAATTTGCATTTGAACACAGTTACTTTAGTAAACAATAACCAAGATTTCTATTTCTCTAATCCACTATACCAGTCCAAATTTGCCACAAGTGGAAAAGTACCCATTTGTTTCTAGATGAAACTAGTGAGACATACACAATCACAGAGCTCTACCAAGCAAAACTAAATACAATAACTTAAAACAATGTAATGAAACTAAGCCTTGTGACAAACATTACTCACTCTCAATATTCTCTGGAGCCATGTGCATCAGTCTCTACACGTAAGAATAACAATGTGCCCAAATAATTTTTATATGTCCTCATTTAAAAATAAACACACAACTTTACACCAAATTAATTCAACAGTTACTCCTTCATAAATAAATTCAAATTCCATCTGAGTACGACCATAAGGTGCAGTACTGATTATTTTCTAAACTGAGCATACCAAGTCTAACAGGAGCATAAATCTGTATGCCTGTGCTGATAAGACCACAAGTATATACTGCTAAGAAAACAAACATATGCCTATGATCTTAATTAGAAAAGCTAAAGGAGTCATGTTATGTTAATGATCTAATTTCTGATCACTAAGCTATTCTAAATGTTAAAAATAATAGTGCACATACCTAACCTTTTCATTTCTACACTTATTCCTCCATACAACAGCATGCATTATTAGTTCATTTCTATAAGAAAAACTCAGAAGAGTACATTTTTAATTTGTCTTTTCATAGCTGAAACAGAAGAAACAGCTAGGGGGTCCAAATCCCCCAAAGTACAAATATTCTCTTTCCAGGTTATAGGAGATGCTGGAGCAGAAAATAATATTTTATTTCAGGTTTGCAAACACACACAAAAAGGGGGCTAGGAAAATTGTAAGAAACCAAGGTGTCCCCTTTCAAAATAAAAATAATTATTTGCAAAAACTGTCAGCCTGAAATTCAAAACGACCACATTAAGGTGAAAAAAACTAAAACTGTTCTGTTTGGTTATGCCTCTTGGATTTCCTCTAAAAAAAATACTAAAATTAGGCCAGAAGCTCTTCTCAATGAAATTACAAATTATGATACAAAGTTAAAAGAGTTTAACAATGATCAAACAGGATTTACGGTACAAAATAAGTGTATTCTGAAAGACTATCTGAACCTATTGAGAGACTAAATAGTTATTTTAACTATTATAACACCATATGTGCCTGGTAGTGTATTTTGGGAACACTTACATGTGAAAATTATTACAACTCTGATCAAAAGAAAATAATAACCCACGTTACACACCATGAAGTTGCACAAAATATGCGAAGAAAAATATGCATTCTGCTTGCACTCCCTTCCCACTTTAACTTTTACAATAATAGGTAGTGGCACATATGTCCTATCCTTCAGGAACAAAGGGAACAAACCCCCCCATGTAACTTTTGCATCTGGTCCAACACGCTCTACCCATATTAAGGATCTGACTGCCTGGAATTCACAAGCACACTGAGGATTTCCACTTGCATGTACCGTGCTTTTCTAGCGGTTTATCGTCACCATCACCTTGCGGCCGAGCGCTGCCCAGGAAGGGAAGGAGGGGAAGGGCTCCAGCCTGGCTGCCGGCAGCGGGATCAGCACCGGGCACAGGAACAGCGCCGGGGGCTGCCGCGGGCTCGCAACGCGCCGCTCGGGTCAAACACCGCTAGCGGGAATAAATAACTTCAGGGTTAACTCCAGGCCTCCTCTGCCGTCAATGTCCCCTCTCTCACTCCAAGCATCCTCCTACTCCTGAGCGAGCTCACAACGCCGCTTTCCACGAACAATCATGTCTTCCCAGGCTCCCGCTGAAACCTACGGAGCTTGACGCCTAAAAATTTCGCCGGTATCTCTGGCCCCTTCCTCGCACAGAAGCGGCGCTGACGCCCGTGTACAGCGGAACCTCTCGGGGCTCCGCTCCTGGGCGCGCCGCCCGCTGCGCCGAGCTCCGCGGGGCTCCGGGATACGCCGAGATCCCGGCACAGGAGCCCCCGGCCCGTCACACCCGCACCGGCTCCGGGAGCCCGTCTGTGCAGCCACCGCAGGTCATGTGCCACGGGTTTATTAAAGGATCATCCGTGCGCTATGAGCGGCAGCATCATAAATGCCCTCCTCCCCCTCCCCACAGAGAGCACACAGGCACAGGCATCCCCACCCACCCCCTCCCGATCCCCAAAGTAAAGGCCAGGGAGGGGGAGGGGAAGGAGCCATCCCAAAGGAGCTGCCGT